GGTCTTCACTTAAGGTACCGACTTTTCGATGGAGGAGATGCTAACCACCAAGCAGGTAATCCTAAGAAGGGTTAGGGCACCTAAGCCCTACCTCAAGAACCCAAAACCCACTTTTTTGTAGGGTCCCCATAAATCCCATATTCGGTTTTATAATAAGAACCCACAAAAAGTGGGTTTTGGGTTCTTAAGGTAGGTTTCAGCGAGAAGGGCAAAAACTCGTAAGGTCTGCTGTCCCTTTGACCTTCCTGTCCCTTCGACATGACCCCGCCATATGCACTTGGCCTGCATGACCCCCAGTGCTCTTCCTTAGAGCTCCTTGCCCAAGCGGTATTTCAACCACTAGTTCAATAATTATGGCCCCTCTTATATGAGGGCGGTTACTAACAGTGTTCGAGCCCTCGTTTTATTTACCTAATTACCTAAACCCTAGAACCTAAAACCCTAAACCCTAAACCCTAAACCGTAGCCATATACCCCTATCTGAGTGTACAAGGAGGATCGGACCCCTGCCTGCAAGGCTCAGGGTAGTTTAGGGGCCTAAGGGTTTAGGGTTTAGGGTTTAGGGTTAGGGGTTTAGGGGTTTAGGGGTTTAGGGTTTAGGGGTTTAGGGTTTAGGGTTTAAGGTTTAGAATTTCCAAGACCATTTCTTAGGCTTGCTACTGCTACCGCAATAAAGGGGCCATCAAATGCCCCAAACCCCATTCTGATTCTCAAGGCCCCAAAATTGTGTAGGTTCCTTGGTCTAGGTTTGGGAGGTTTTGGGTTCATAAACTAGGCAGTCCAGCGTTCATGCTTGGAGGGGCGGGGGACTTAGTAAGTAGTTATTTTGTAGACTTATAAGTATCACAACCCCAATTAGAGTCCCCTTTAGGTTACTTATAAGTCTACTTATTACCTACTTAATAAGTCCCCCGACCCTCCAAGTGGGTTTGTTGAGGTTCGGAGTTCAATTCAGAGTCGTCGGGCTGTAAGACTGTGGGTTGTGGCGGACAGATTGTCCAGGTATTTTGGCGACGGTCACAGTAGCCTTGGCTTTAAAGTGCGAACCCATGTCAAGTAGTATAAATCGTGGTCCACAGTTTTGAAATAGAATTGGGAACTGTAACACGGACCAGCTATGTAGCTTTAGGCTGACTTGCCGTCCGACGCATTCGTTCTCGAAGACGGCACCATCAATCTGAATCGTTCTCCCGACCCTAACCTCCAAACTCTTTTGCCCTATCCCGGCCCAATCCCCAAACCCCCAAACCCTAAACCCTCAACCCCCAAACCCTAAACCCCCAAACCCCTAAACCCTCAAACCCCTCAGCCGCCGAGAGTGAAAGAGCTATGCTTTTCCTTTCTCAACTCACACTCTTCCGGGCATGCAGCGCAAAAATCCCAAACACAACACCCTAAACCCTAAACCCTAAACCCTGAACCCTACCCCCTAAACCCTACACCCTAAACCCTAATCCTTAAAAGCCTGTAGCCTTGGAACTCTCGGCATGGCCACGGGCACACGCACTGCAGGTCTAAACCTAAATAACACCCGAGCCCGACGCCCGAAAGCCTTAAGTTTAGGGTTTAGCGCTTTCAGGGTTTCGAGTTTAGGGTTTTGGGTTCAGGGTTTAGGGTTTAGGGTTTAGGGTTCAGGGTTTAGGGTTTAGGGTTTAGGGTTCAGGGTTTAGGGTTCAGGGTTTAGCGTTGAGGGTTCAGGGGCCGGTATGACCATAAAAATGAAACCCTAGACCCTAAACTGTTCAGGGCTTATAGGATTTAGGGCCTAAACCTGGAAGCCAGCGTGGGAATGTGATGCGCTTGCTTGGCTTCCTCGGCCTGCTGGTATTTGCCGGGCACTCAGCGGCCAAGGTTTAGACCCCTACGAAATGTATCCATCGTAGTTCTTGTTGGTGTTACCCTAAACCCTAAACCCTGAACCCTAAACCCTAGACCCTAAACCCTAAACTTGATTTTGGCAAAGCAACAAAAGGAACTTCAAGCGAGACTATAGGTCTTAGGTAGGTCTAGGTGTTTCAGAAAATATGATCGGCGCTTGAACTTTTACTCATATCATTCCAGAACTGATATAACCTGGCATAATGTAGCTAGACTACAATTTGCTGCCGAACCCCCCCCTTCAAGTTGTTAAGGCCCCAGAATTCGGACAAGTTTGGCCAGAGTCTAGGACATTTTCAGGTGGGGTAGTTGTTATAGGAGCCTTATAGAAGGTCTCTTAACCTTATGGAAGCCTTATAGAAGCCCTAAACCCTAAACCCTAAACCCTAAACCCTATATACCCTAAACTCCCACCTCGACTCCGTCTCCAGGTCATGATCAACGGCACATCTGAGCATACTTCTAGCTTCATCTTCAGGGCTTAACTAGGGGGTTTAGGGTTTAGGGTTTAGGGTTTAGGGGCCTGAATAATTACCTATACTATTTTGGGGGGTTCCTCATGATGCTTATAGTACAATATGCCATCCCCCCCAAACTCTGGTCTAATTATTGAGGCCCCTATCTTGATAGAACCCTTATAGTAGCCCTTATAGAGCCCCTTTACGGATCCCTTTGAAGGAACCCTTAAAGGAACCCTGTCTTAGTAAGCCATTATTAGACCTGACCCCCCCCTTGGAGTCTAGGTTACAAACCTTGGGAGCCACAGGTAGGTGAATTGCCCTTGGCTCCGGAGATTTCTGCATGGGGTTTTAGGGTTTGTAGTTTTAGGGTTTAGTTTAGGTTGTTGTTTTTCTTCGATGCTTTGAGGAACAGATTGCGGGGGTTAGGACATGTTGGTTCTAGAAGGGAGGGGAAGTTAGGCTCTGAGGTCTTGGATTTGGGGTTAGGGGTTTTAGGATTTCGGATTTGAAACCTAAGCCCAAAAAACCCATAGTAGCCTTTAAAGGAAGCCTAGGATCCCTATAGTACCCTTTAAAGGAACCCCGAAAACCCAGGTTTCCGGGTTCGGGATTTAAGGTTTATAGGGCTCTTAGGTTCAGGAGACCCGGAGATTCCAGAGCCGAGTGTCCTCAGACTCTTTCATGTCGAAGCGTCCTGGTTTAGGGTTTAGGGTTTTGGGGTTTAGGGTTTAGGGGATTCAAACCGTATCGGCCCATGACCTAACCCTAATCCCAAAACCTCTCAATTGTTCAGGAACTAGACAGGAAGTCATCATAGGAGCCCTACAGGTATAGGTTTCTTCGTGATCTTAATTAGAAGCCATAGAGCTGACTTCTTCTGAGACCGAGGGCCCTAAGAACGCCCGGCCGACATTCTCGTGCACAGCCGCAGCAAGACTTGCTTGGACTAATATAGGGGCCTAAATAATTACCTACAGTATTTTGGGGGTTCGTTATTATCATTATAGTATAATAATATACCCTAAAACCCTATTCCAATTGAAATTATTAAGGCCCCTATGTTGTAGGTGTTGATTTAGGGTTTAGGGTCTAGGGCTCCTACGTTGAACCGAAGTTCGGACCTCGAGCCTAGTACAGGGGCTTCCATTCATAGGGTCTGATTATTTGTTTAATTGTTTTAAGGGTTTTGTTTAAGCTCAAGGGTTTCAGAACTACTCCTAGGCCCCATAGTGGAGTCTTTGGGACCTCTCGATAAGGTCCGGCGTACTTTTCCATGGCCGCAGACATGGGTGCCAAAGAAGCCCCTTGTGGGCATTGGCGGTTTTTGGTCTGAAATCATGGGTGGAAGCGAGTGCGCGGGGAGAGAGGGTAATCAGCCGAACGTGGGGCCAGAAGCCTGCTTGGTTTAGGGTTTAGGGTTTGGGGTCTAGGTTGGCAATTTGGCCGTGGGTGGCGGCAGCTTCTATGCAAGGCAACACATACGGACACGGTTACCGGCTGCGCCCGTTGGCCGACGGCAACCAGCAAGGACTGGACAGGGGCGCATCATCAATTGACCACGACTTTGCCGATGAATCCTCCCGCCCAGGATTCTAGCTTCGTTTCTGAACCATTAGGGGCTGAGTAGGGAACCTTTACTTAACCTTTTGGGCCTTGTATAAAGCTTCAAAAGTAACACTTCTCTGGGCTAGGGTACTCAGCTCCTAAGAATCTGTCTCGTAGATTTCTCACAGGCGCAGGGCCCCCGTAAATTCTGCGGGCTTGGGCTTAGGGTGATTTCGGGGTTTGGTGTTTCGGGGGCTGAAGGTTGAGGCAAGAATCTTAAACCCTAAACCCTAAAACCCTAAACCCTAAACTCTAAAACCCTGGGACTTATGAGGCCCTAAACCCTTAACCTTGGCTTTCGGTTTGTCTAGAGCTCCAGTCTGAATCCGCGGCGGATCTTCGGGTTCGGGCCTTGCACCTTTGTCTTTGCTTGGAGGTTCGCGGGTGGTTATCAGTATGGTTACAAGTTCCCGAAGATGGTTTAGGGCTTATAACCCTAAACCCTAAACCCTAGGGTTTAGGGGTAATTATAGTTAGCCTACTTATCACCCCATTTATAACTACTACTGAACCTGAAAGTGGAGGGTCTAGCCAGGACCTCGCCTTGTACCCTCGGTTTTAGATGCCGCCCGGATTATAGGTATTTAGGGTCGAAGAGATGGTAGATGGAGGATCTGGGAACAAGGAGGGTTTAGGGTCTAAGATGGCTTATAAGGCTAAGGGTCACAGAGATCCACAGTTCAAAACTGCATGGCGTGCTTGCAAAGCTGCGATTTGATACGGTGGGGTTCTTACAAGACGATCACTTTTGGGTGTTGCTTGTATTCAGGATGCTACTCGTTAGATTGATCGAACGGCCTTAGCCCTAAACCCTAAACCCTAAATCTGGGAAGACTTGAGGGCACTCTCGAGTTCGGTACTTGGCCCATTGACATCTCCGGGTTGCACCCTAAACTTTGAACCCTTAACTTGAAACCCGAACCTAACTAAGCCCTATGCCCTTAACCTCAACTGCCAAGCCTTAAACCCCTAAACCCTAAACCCTTTCAACCCCAAGCCCTTAGGCAGAACCAGGCGCAGCAAGCTCAAGCTCAGCAATCGCAGCCGCGGCCCCTCATGCAGCCTCCGTCAGTGGCTAAGTCCGAGATCATGTGGGGCTTCAATGCATGTCGCCCAGAATCTTATCCTTTACAGGGGATACCTGAGGAAATAAAACTCAAGGTTCTCGGTTTGCAGCTGGTGTGCATTGCTCACTTCGGCCAGCCAAATTCAATTTCGCCGCGAGTCTTGTGGCTGGGGTCAGTCACCAAGGACCACATGAACCCAATCTAGGGGCCGCTGCGCGCGCGTGAACAGGGCTTCGGAGCGTTGTAATTATAGGTTAATGGGCCCCGGAACCTCATTCTAATTATCAAGGCCCCTATATTACGTACAGAACATGCTCGACATTTTGGGGTTTGGGGATTCGGGTCTCGAGTTCAGAGGTTTGTGTTTACGGCTTCGGCTTTAGGGTTTAGGGTTTGAGGGTTTAGGGTTTTAGGGTTTAGGGCTTTGGGTGTTTTGTCATTGATTTTATGAGAAAACTTGTGCATCCAATAAGGGTTGGAGCTCTCTTCTGTGTGCCGTGGTCCATAGCTTACCTTGAGGACCAAACGACCCTTAAAAGTAGGGGCCCTATATCTATACCCCTATTGTAATTACTATGCATCCCTATATGGTATACGAAACCGAAACCCTAAACCCTAAACCCTATATGCTATATGAACCCGAAGCCCTTTTAGGGTCAATCAAGTAACTAAAGGCTGTTGGAGGTCTTTCGAGGCTTCTCATCGCTAGCCATGCTTCCCGTGTTGAGGCGGTGTAGGCTTTAGGGTTACAGCACGTTACCTGAACGTTAGCCTAAACCCTAAACCCTAAACCCTAAACCCTAAACCCTGAACCCTAAACCCTAAACCACCCTAAACCCTATAAGCCCTAAAGGCTTAGCTCCTTCGTGTTTGCAGGTAGCTTCAGATCCCTTTTGTAGTTTGTGTCTCTCTCGCGAAAAATGCGGTGGCAGAGCTCAGCGATAACCTTCAGCCTTAATACCCTCTGCAGATGGATACTGTAGGGGCCGCAACAGTTGCCAATACTATTTCGGGGTTTCCTTTATTTTCATTATAGTATTGTGGGCCCCAAAACCGTATTCTACTTGTTTAAGGCCCCTAATTATTACCCTAAGGCTCATGGACCCCCATAGTGAAAGCCCAAACCTTAGCCCCCAAAGCCCAAACCTTCGCCTAGAAAGCCCCTAACAGCAATAAAAGCCTTAGGGTAGCGACCGTGATTCAGAAACGACGTATTCGCAGCAGTTCCTGGCTCAGGCCTGTGCCAAGCAGCCACCAAGCTCCTGACGCCCCTCAGACTGTGGACGTATAGAGTTGGCAAGGGGGCGTTACAGGCCTAAGGGTAAGTGCCCGTACACTACACTGTGTGGGCCTGAAGTGATTGCCTCAAACCCTAAACTCTAAAGCCCTATATGGGAACCTCTTTTAGGCTTAAGTATATGTTGCAAAGACACAGACGACCCTTGGGTTTCAGGTGGGTTCAGCACAAATCCTTAGGGTTTTGGTTTAGGGTTTGCAATTTAGGGACTGGGGCTTGCGCAAAGCCTTATGCCGTCAGCATGTACGAGGGCCGGGACGTCTCTTACGGCCCAGCTGCCAAATTCAAGTCTCGAAAGTCGTGATCTAAACCATTAGCCAAGCCGTGAAGTTCCCAAGAGCCGAGCACTAGCTTGCGGGATTCTGGAGTCGGCTCCTCGTACCCAAGGGTCGAGGCCGCTACAACATAATTTGGGCGGGGCGGGGAGGGAGGGTGGGGGGGGGGGGGCACAAACCGAGGTGTCTCTTTTCTTAGGAGTTCATATGGAAAGGGCCCTATTTAGGGGTGCGAAACTAGCCTTAGGCCCTAAAGTAGTTCCTTTTTCGGGTTCATATATAGAATCCTAAAAGGTAACCCCAACAAGGAACTACTATGGGGCCTATGGGTAGCCCGCCCTTGTTTTACGAAACTCAGCGAAAAATGTTGGCGTTCGATCCAAATGGGTTCCTAGATTCCTAGACAGGCCCTAAACCCTAAACCCTAAACCCTAAACATATATATATATATATACATATATATATATATATAGATATTGATATAGATTAGGCTCATATTAAGAACTCTGTATAAATTCAGGCCCAAGGTTTCTCAATCGGGCTCCTACTTTTTTACACTGAAAGCCAAAGTATATGCCATATGCTGTTATATGGGTACCTGGGGTATTGAAAGGGCCAGAGACTTGCTTGTGATTTTTAGGGGGGTTCCTGTGGTTTTGTAGGGGTTCTTCTTTGAACTTACATCTGATTTAGTTTCCTTGGGTTTAGGGTTTCGGGACCCTAAACCCTAAACCCTAAACCCCTGAAGCATCGCATGTTCCTAAAGGGCTTTTGGAGTGGTAACAGGGTTCATAGCGTACCCAGATGCGCCCCCCTCGTGGCATCGACCTCCTCGGGCGAGCCTTCTTTCGACTGCTCCTGGGCCGTGCTTTGGGTGCAGGGTTCGGCGTTTTCAGGCGTTCCGGTACTATCCAGTTCCTGTACTATTCAATGTAGTTCCGTTCTAGTGATTCTAGTGGCTGACAAAGTTTTCGGGGAGATTTCCATAGTCTCTACTCCTGGAGCATTGGGGAGACTACTTACAGGGGACCCTTCTGGACCCCACCTATGGCTCTCGTAAGCGGGACCCTATTGAGAGGGTGTTTATCCCCAACCGTCCCCCTAAACCCTAAACTCTAAATCCTAAACCCCACAACCCTAAACTCTAAACCCTTGGCCCTAAACCCTGAACCCCACAACCCTAGACCCTTAATCCTAACTCCCATCTACATAACTACGATGAGATGCTGTAGGTAGAGGCTTTGGCTCGTGGCGGTATTGACCTACTTGGATATTCATGGGAAGTTGTAAATGGGGTTATAAGGGGTTCCTTTAAAGGGTTCTATAGGGTTTATTTAGGGTTTAGGGGTAGTTATAAGTGGGGTTATAAGTAGGGTAACTATAACTATAACCAATATTAGGGGACTTAGAACCATACTTATAAGTACCCATGATCCTCCCAGTAGAGGATTAGGGAACTCCGAAGTAGGTTAAACGTACCTGTCCCCAAATGGGGCTCTTGCTTATAGCCTACTTCCTCCCCGCCTGATCCTTCAAAGTGTACTGGAGGCTTCCGGATTCAGGGTGTATAGTTTAGAGTTTTAGGGGTCGGGGTTTTAGAGTGATAAGTGTTCTGTTCGATGTTTGGATAAACCGGATAGATAGGACCCTAGGAGACATCCTTTCACTGCTTTACTTGGAGGTTCATGGGTAGTTATAACAAGTATGGTTATAAGACCCCTGATATGGGTTATAATTATAGTTACTCTGCTTATAACCCCATGTATAACTACCCATGACCCTCCAAGAAGGGTTTGAGGTTCAGGGTTCGGGGCTTTGGTTTGTTGAAGCAGGGGCCTAAGTAATTACTACTACTATATTGGGGGTTCTTAATAACAAATTATAGTAGAATGGCCCCAAAACCCTATTCTGATTATTGAGGCCCCCATATTACTGGGAGAACTTCAAACTGTTTGGCCTTCTGTCATTGTATATTTGGGCTATCCCGGTTGTTGAAGAAGAGGGAGGAAGCTAGCTTTCACATGTTGGCTGAGGCGCCCCTTGCAGCCCCGTACCCTCGGTTTTAGTATGGCGGGGGGGCATTCGAACAGCTGTGGTGTATGTTCTTGTCAAAGCACAGAATGGCCATCAGGGGTATTCTTACGAGATACTCAGACCACACTGCAAACCCCTGAATAGTGATGCCCCGGTGTTTTATTAAGAGCCCTGCAATTGGGGGATGGTTTTTTATCAGTCAGAATTCTGCAGTCAAACCATATTAACAACACCTACAACTACAGCAGCTTGCTAGAACCTGCGAAGCGAGTAGGGCTTCAGCACGAGATTGCACTTCTTTGACCGCGGTTGTTGGCATTTACTGATGGTCTCACAGGGTTTGCATTTTAAGGTTCAGGCTTCAGCAGTTTCAGTTGTTTGGTCATTCGACTTCAAGGTAGTAGGTATCATAAAGTCGGAATATTGCAAGTGGGTGCTGCGGTTTGGGCTGTCTAGAGCTGCCAGAATTGTATGTCTGCACACTTTGCCCAGCTAAGGCTGCGTGAAAAGCCGCTGGAGGCAAGCCTGACATTGAATAGGAAGTGCCTGGCTGTTTAGTACTTTAAGTGTTGGCCGTATGTTGTTGGTACTGTCGTGGTCTGCTGGTGCAGAGACCCTAAACCCTAAACCCT